CACGATCTTTTACTTACTACGTGTCCCTCGTTCCCGCCGCTTTTGCTTCCCTCCACTTTTCTTCTCCGTCCTTCTTCCGTAGGTAGAGAACCGCAGGTATATAGCGTTGTTGGATAGTGGCGACGCGCGGTACGCAACAGGCCATCGTCCAACTTTTTCTCGCCGGAACGCCAAAGGTTCGTTATATCTCGAGGGCCGCCATTCGGGGCCCGCTACGTGATGTGACGCCGGCAGAGATGGCGACTCGTCAGGCCCAACCTACCACTTTTTCCATCGGGGTTCCTGAATACCGTGTTTCCTAAAGGCGCTCACTCCCCTCCCTCCCCCATCTCTCCCTCCCTTTTTCTTCCCTCTCTTTTCTTTTTTCCTGACCTGTTTCGCTGCTACTTTGTCCTTCTCCGCAGTTTTGCGCGAGTACCAGTGTACCACCCCGCGGGGCTACCCCGAAATCTTCCAATCCGCGGACTGGGAACGTCGATCAAACCGGAACGGGGCCCCTTCTTAAAATTACGCCGGCCCCGATTCGACCGACTCGCGTTTCTCCGTATTCCACCTCGGTTTAAGATGGCCAACGCGCCGAAAGAAACCCAATGGATCATTATTTCGCTTTGTTCCCCTGATAATTATGTAAGAAGCGTAACGTTTCGCGTGCTCGGGATGCTTTTTCCCCCCCGTGAAGAAGCTCAATTTCGACGGTTATCTCCGATCCCGGGATCGTGATGGGAATGGAAAATGGCCGCCGGTTCCCGCGAGGTGGTAATGAAACGCGGAGAGGACTATCAGTCTTTCTAGCAGCTTGCATGTGTCGTTCCCCCTCCCTCCGAAAAGTGGTCGCGCATCTTTTTGTTCGGTGATCCGAGAACTTTATTCCTCGAAATTCCCTCGAATGCCACGGGTAAAACCTGGGGCGGGATCCGCGCGCCGCAAATGGCGCGCGAGGTTTAGCCCGAGGCCGCTCGAGGAGTCGTCCTCGACTCGGCGGCGAAGAGACCGAGGCGACCGAGGTCCGGTTGATTTAATCGGATTGCTTCGTTTCAACTTTCGGCCCGCGTTTCCTTCGTTAACGACGACAAGTCGACCGCCTCGGTACGCCGCGATGAAGCTATGCGCCGTGGAACGCGTAATGAGCGTACGTGCGATCGGGTCGAGCAATCTGCCCTACTTCGGTATACGTCGCATTAACTTTAACGATCGTTGAAACGGCGCGACGAGGATGAAGACACACAGAGAGAACGCGTTCCGGCTCAACCAACTCGACGACTCCGGTGCCCAACTGCGCGCAAACCGTTTCTGTAATCGTTTACCCTCCCGCTGTTACGGTTGATTACGAAGCTCCACTCTCGGTGGTATGTAATGCCGCTCAAGAGTGAAACGAAATCGCCTTGAATCTTTGATCGGCGCCGTGCAATCGTCGCTTTTACGTGTATTACAAAATAAGATCAATTTATGCTCGAATCAGTCCAGATCGAGTTTCTAGAAGTGTGGCTGATTCGGGATCTTTATTTTTATTTTCTTTTTATTTCGTTCACGAGAGTCACACGAGCGTCAAAAGAAAAAAGAACGTTATATCATATATTTGTAATATCATATATATTATAATATATAAAAGCACATAGATGTGGCTCGTGTAAATTTGATAATAGAGCAAAAGAGATCGAATATTTAGTGGGAATATGCAGTCTCATTCGAGTCTCGGGAACCTTCGGGTCGAGTCGGAAAAATTCGGGCTCATAGATGTGGCTCGTGTAAATTTGATAATCGCTAGAGCAAAAGAGATCGAATATTTAGGGGGAATATGCAGTCTCATTCGAGTCTCGGGAACCTTCGGGGCGAGTCGGAAAAATTCGGGCTCATAGATGTGGCTCGTGTAACTTTGATAAACGTTAGAGCAAAAGAGATCGAATATTTAGTGGGAATAGTGCAGTCTCATTCGAGTCTCGGGAACCTTCGGGTCGAGTCGGAAAAATTCGGGCTCATAGATGTGGCTCGTGTAAATTTGATAATCGTTAGAGCAAAAGAGATCGAATATTTAGTGGGAATAGTGCAGTCTCATTCGAGTCTCGGGAACCTTCGGGTCGAGTCGGAAAAATTCGGGCTCGATGAGGCGAGAGTTCGATGCTTTCGTACTATTCGAATTTCTTGAAAATTTCAATTAAACAATTATATTACGGATAAATTGGACGAATAAAATCGAACGAACAAGATTGTCGAGGAATCCAGAAAGAATGTAATCCGATACTTCAAATCTTATCTTTACAAGCTTTTTCGTTCTACGCGTAATTGTAAATATTTATGAAACATATTCAACCTAGCCAAATAGGATTATAAATGTATACAAATATCGTTCGAATATTTGACAATATCTAATCCGATCCCTTTTTTATTTTGTTACAGGTAAGATCGTAAACTATCGACGAACGAAGATGCGAACGTTGTCGCGGTATGAGTAAGTAACACAACACCCTTTTCGAAACGTATATTAGCAATGCTACACATCGCGTTAGAATATCTATAAATCGTTAAGTTGAACCGGTAGCGATCCTTTTTGTCATCGGGGATACCATCTCGAGCCTGTATCGATGAGACGCGATTACGATTTTAATGATCCGCGAATAGATGAACGAAACGATGGGGTTTAAACGTCGTCGGTCATGTAGCTCGAGGAGGAAGAAAACCTGTGAAGCCGGTAGCGTTCAGGATCGCTTAGTCGGTGGGGTAGGAGGCTTTATAAGGCGCAAGAGGGAACTTAGCTCGTTGGACGGTAGCTAGTGAGGATTTACGATCCCCTCTATCTTAGCACGGTTTCGTCGAGCAGCGCAACACGTCGGATCCCATCGGCAATGGGATTATATCGCATAGAAGGTGGCTGCTTGTATCGCATCAAGATAGGTAGATACCACACCGCTCTCTCGAGAGAAGCTCCTCTCTCGGTACACCCAGCCAGCGAGCGGCAGCATCAGCATCAACAGCACACCGGCAGCAGCACAAGCAACCAGCACCAGCAACAGCGGTCGTGCCTTAGGCCCACTCACGTTGCATGAGTTCCGTGACGCCCCACCTCTCCTCCATTCCCATCCCCCTTACAACCCTCTTTCTCCATCTCTCTCTCTCCGCCATTCGCTCTTCCTTCTCGCTCCTTCCTCCATCCTTTTCTCCATCCTGTATTCTCTCTCCGACTTTTATTTTCCCTCGATTCCGGGAAGTATCGCGCGCACCACGAAGGGATAACGGGCAAGTGGTGGAGGGGGGGACGAGGGAGGAAGGAACACGTACACGAGAGCTGTTCGAAGGAGAGAAAGAGCACCGTGTGTGCCCCGTGTATGCGCGCACGAGGAGAGGAGAGGAGAAGAGATAACCGTATCGTCGCAGCGAAATGAAGAGAGCCCGTGGACGACAGTGGGCGAGCGTTAAACCATCCACGTGATTTAATTGCGTCCTAGCGTCAAATAGCCAATCCCCTCCTCCGCTACCCTTTTTTAATTACCCGTCTCTTCCAAATTAATTTGAAATATCTATCCAATGATTTTGCGATTTCAGTTCATCATTAATTTTGAGATTCTGAGTTTTCTGCTACACATCTCATATACATCGATATTAATTATCAATCGATTGATTATTAGTGTCGTAAAACAATAACATTCGTTGTATAAGAAGTTTTATCCACCACTAAGAGGCGGATTGCGGGTGCGGACGATCGTCTAATAAAGACATTTTCCTCGGGCGTATCACCGCGTATCACCCCAAAGTTAATTAATGCCGGCCGAAGACGGATCTTGGATCTATCTGTCCGCGGGGTATCGCAATATAAATAATAATAATTTGGCCGAAAAATGCCGGAACATCCCTCCGATGATTATCTGCTCGTAAATTCCGGCATAAAGATATCGCGAGTAAATTGCGAGCTCGGCGCGGAAGGGTTTTGAAAAAGGAGTTCAGGGAACACGGACGAAGATCGGAAGGGTTGGGTGGGGCGAGGAGGCGAAGAGGAGTGAGAGAGAGAGAGAGAAAGAGAAAAAAGAGGAGGAAAGAAAAAAATAGGCATAAGGAGGCACACACCGAAGAAAAAGAAGAAGAAGAAGAAGCGTTTGACCAAGGCTCTCTCCTCTTCACGCTCGGAAGTATTGCGGCGTGGCTCTGGTGGTTATTGCAATATAGACGGGGCGGCAACAGACCAATCACGTGCCGGCTACTAATTTGCTCGACTCAAACAGCTGCCGTTCTACCGCCTATGCGAAAGACCTGCGTGGATCCCTTATTCTCTCTCCTCGAGTGTATATCCACTCCACCATCGATCGAGGATTTCGATCCCCCTTGGACTCATGCTGCGATATTCGATCGTTCCCCTGGCCCCCCCACTCCTATCCTTCCCGTGTGCTCTCATTCGATCCCTCTTTTCTTTTGCCAACTACTTTGATCCTTCTCCCCTCCCCCCTTTTACTTCTTCTTCTTGCTGCAACTACCCGCTGCCTCTGCCGGACAAAACATTTCTTAATTGGGTTTCGTTCGGAAAGAACCGTCCGTCCGATTTCGTTTCGCAAGGGATCCGGCTGCTTCTGCCGGTTTTACCGCATCTCTATGTGGCTTCTGTCGTTCAATCCAGTTCTGCTTCCTTCACTTCAGAGGATTTATTTATTTCCTCTGATTCATCGTGAGGTTATTTTTGATCCTTCCATTCTGTACAGAAATAAAAATAAAAATTGAATAATTGTGTAGAATTATCACAATTACAAATTGACAAAACGAACGAGCGATAAATAATTATATTTGCAGATAAGAATGATCGTATAGACGGCTAGAAGAAAAAAGATACAAATGATATACGAAATTAATGGGTTCTTCAAATTATTCGAACAATTATCTAACTTTTTATACGTGCGTGAATTTAATATAACGCACAGAGTTTGCACGTGAGGTAGTTAAGTTCGTTATTCGCGTGATAAAGAATAACAGTCGTGTTTGTAGGATTGCGATCACTTGGCGGGTCGGTCGCTGGACTGCCGGGCCCGTAATTCTATAAATAAGCAGTCTGTAGAAATCGTTGGCTCGAAGCGGTCGACGGTGTATAGGTTATAATGTTGGACGCCGTGCGATACGTTAAGTGGCGCGTTGATCGTTGTTGTGTTGATCTCGAGAGTTAACTCCGTCA